AAACCCTAAACCCTAAACCCTAAACCCTAAACCCTAAACCCTAAACCCTAAACCCTAAACCCTAAACCCTAAACCCTAAACCCTAAACCCTAAACCCTAAACCCTAAACCCTAAACCCTAAACCCTAAACCCTAAACCCTAAACCCTAAACCCTAAACCCTAAACCCTAAACCCTAAACCCTAAACCCTAAACCCTAAACCCTAAACCCTAAACCCTAAACCCTAAACCCTAAACCCTAAACCCTAAACCCTAAACCCTAAACCCTAAACCCTAAACCCTAAACCCTAAACCCTAAACCCTAAACCCTAAACCCTAAACCCTAAACCCTAAACCCTAAACCCTAAACCCTAAACCCTAAACCCTAAACCCTAAACCCTAAACCCTAAACCCTAAACCCTAAACCCTAAACCCTAAACCCTAAACCCTAAACCCTAAACCCTAAACCCTAACCCTAAACCCTAAACCCTAAACCCTAAACCCTAAACCCTAACCCTAAACCCTAAACCCTAAACCCTAAACCCTAAACCCTAAACCCTAAACCCTAAACCCTAAACCCTAAACCCTAAACCCTAAACCCTAAACCCTAAACCCTAAACCCTAAACCCTAAACCCTAAACCCTAAACCCTAAACCCTAAACCCTAAACCCTAAACCCTAAACCCTAAACCCTAAACCCTAAACCCTAAACCCTAAACCCTAAACCCTAAACCCTAAACCCTAAACCCTAAACCCTAAACCCTAAACCCTAAACCCTAAACCCTAAACCCTAAACCCTAAACCCTAAACCCTAAACCCTAAACCCTAAACCCTAAACCCTAAACCCTAAACCCTAAACCCTAAACCCTAAACCCTAAACCCTAAACCCTAAACCCTAAACCCTAAACCCTAAACCCTAAACCCTAAACCCTAAACCCTAAACCCTAAACCCTAAACCCTAAACCCTAAACCCTAAACCCTAAACCCTAAACCCTAAACCCTAAACCCTAAACCCTAAACCCTAAACCCTAAACCCTAAACCCTAAACCCTAAACCCTAAACCCTAAACCCTAAACCCTAAACCCTAAACCCTAAACCCTAAACCCTAAACCCTAAACCCTAAACCCTAAACCCTAACCCTAAACCCTAAACCCTAAACCCTAAACCCTAAACCCTAAACCCTAAACCCTAAACCCTAAACCCTAAACCCAAAAACCCTAAACCCTAAACCCCAAACCCGAAACCCCAAACCCTAAACCCTAAGCCCTAAACCCTAATATTATATTAATGGAGTTTTTGATGGTTTTTTTTTAATATTTTGTTAAAACTAATAATAATGCATATATTTTTGAAGAGTAATATAATAAGTCAAAAAGTTTCATAAAAATTGACATTTATAAATAAAGAATAAATAATTAAAAAATTAATTTGATTAAGATTTTACTTGTAAATCGTTTAATAAAATAAAAATAATTATCAATAAATTAATCATATTGGAACCTTACTGTATTAAGATTATCTAGGTCAATTGTGATAAAATTTAATATACAATGCTATAATCTATATAATAAAGTAGAGTTGAGTTTGAATCCAAGAGACAAAGAGTGGTTCAGATCGTTTTGAGACAAAACATAAGCACATCTGACGGACAATGTAATCTCAACATAAAAGACGATTCAGATCATTTCAAAAATTTTGATCTAACGGTATATTGTGATTACCGAAATTAGTTTCCCCGCCCAACAAATTTCCTGTTTTAATTATAAGGGCTTTTTGCTTGACTGACGCCCCTGTCTCCTCTTATTCCCCATATCTTCCCCTAAAATCTCTCTCAGAATCCTTCTCAATTTCATCCTCTGCCTTCCAAACTCATCCCCCAAAATCTTTCCCTGCTCATCCCCAAAATCTCCAAAATCTCTCATGCCCAGCTCATCCCCAAAATCTCTTACGCCGATTTGTCTCCTCCCTTTCTCTCTGGAGTCCAACTCCGGCGACCCAAATATTCCAACATTCACCACAACTCTCACCATGCTTTTCCTAAACCCTATTTTTTTTAAAAAAAAAAAGGAGGATATATTGAAATGAGCAAAAATTACAAGAAGCAAGGAAGCCAGGCTTTAACAAAAACAAGGAAGCCAATGTGGCATAAACCATCAAAAAAGAAAAGGACATAAAATGGGACATGCCAGCAAAAGCCAGCTGAGAATCCAGCTGAAGATCCAGAAAATTCAGCTGGGGGAAAGCTGGAAACCCAAGAGACAGCAACTGCGAGATGATGAAAACCATGAGGAATGAACATAAGCCCAGAACCAACACAGCAACTGAGAGCCCGCTGAGAACAAATCCCCAGCTGACTGCCGAAGGAAGCAGCAACAGAGAAACCATAGCAGCAGACCAATAGCCAGCGTCAAGCAGATGAAAGAACCACTGAGAGACCATGAGAAAATCAGCAAAACCAGCTGAAGAAAAAGAGACCAAAGGCCCTTTGGTCTCTTTTTCTTCAGCTGGTTTTGCTGATTTTCTCATGTCTCTCAGTGGTTCTTTCATCTGCTTGACGCTGGCTATTGGTCTGCTGCTATGGGTTTCTCTGTTGCTGCTTCCTTCGGCAGTCAGCTGGGGATTTGTTTCTCAGCGGGCTCTCAGTTGCTGTGTTGGTTCTGGGCTTATGTTCATTCCTCATGGTTTTTCATCATCTCGCAGTTGCTGTCTCTTGGTTTTCCAGCTTTCCCCCAGCTGAATTTTCTGGATCTTCAGCTGGATTCTCAGCTGGCTTTTGCTGGCATGTCCCATTTTATGTCCTTTTCTTTTTTGATGGTTTATGCCACATTGGCTTCCTTGTTTTTGTTAAGCCTGGCTTCCTTGCTTCTTGTAATTTTTGCTCATTTCAATATATCCTCCTTTTTTTTTTTTTTTAAAAAAATAGGGTTTAGGAAAAGCATGGTGAGAGTTGTGGTGAATGTTGGAATATTTGGGTCGCCGGAGTTGGACTCCAGAGAGAAAGGGAGGAGACAAATCGGCGTAAGAGATTTTGGGGATGAGCTGGGCATGAGAGATTTTGGAGATTTTGGGGATGAGCAGGGAAAGATTTTGGGGGATGAGTTTGGAAGGCAGAGGATGAAATTGAGAAGGATTCTGAGAGAGATTTTAGGGAAGATATGGGGGAATAAGAGGAGACAGGGGCGTCAGTCAAGCAAAAAGCCCTTATAATTAAAACAGGAAATTTGTTGGGCGGGGAAACTAATTTCGGTAATCACAATATACCGTTAGATCAAAATTTTTGAAATGATCTGAATCGTCTTTTATGTTGAGATTACATTGTCCGTCAGATGTGCTTATGTTTTGTCTCAAAACGATCTGAACCACTCTTTGTCTCTTGGATTCAAACTCAACTCTACTTTATTATATAGATTATAGCATTGTATATTAAATTTTATCACAATTGACCTAGATAATCTTAATACAGTAAGGTTCCAATATGATTAATTTATTGATAATTATTTTTATTTTATTAAACGATTTACAAGTAAAATCTTAATCAAATTAATTTTTTAATTATTTATTCTTTATTTATAAATGTCAATTTTTATGAAACTTTTTGACTTATTATATTACTCTTCAAAAATATATGCATTATTATTAGTTTTAACAAAATATTAAAAAAAAACCATCAAAAACTCCATTAATATAATATTAGGGTTTAGGGCTTAGGGTTTAGGGTTTGGGGTTTCGGGTTTGGGGTTTAGGGTTTAGGGTTTTTGGGTTTAGGGTTTAGGGTTTAGGGTTTAGGGTTTAGGGTTTAGGGTTTAGGGTTTAGGGTTTAGGGTTTAGGGTTTAGGGTTTAGGGTTTAGGGTTTAGGGTTTAGGGTTTAGGGTTTAGGGTTTAGGGTTTAGGGTTTAGGGTTTAGGGTTTAGGGTTTAGGGTTTAGGTTTAGGGTTTAGGGTTTAGGGTTTAGGGTTTAGGGTTTAGGGTTTAGGGTTTAGGGTTTAGGGTTTAGGGTTTAGGGTTTAGGGTTTAGGGTTTAGGGTTTAGGGTTTAGGGTTTAGGGTTTAGGGTTTAGGGTTTAGGGTTTAGGGTTTAGGGTTTAGGGTTTAGGGTTTAGGGTTTAGGGTTTAGGGTTTAGGGTTTAGGGTTTAGGGTTTAGGGTTTAGGGTTTAGGGTTTAGGGTTTAGGGTTTAGGGTTTAGGGTTTAGGGTTTAGGGTTTAGGGTTTAGGGTTTAGGGTTTAGGGTTTAGGGTTTAGGTTTAGGGTTTAGGGTTTAGGGTTTAGGGTTTAGGGTTTAGGGTTTAGGGTTTAGGGTTTAGGGTTTAGGGTTTAGGGTTTAGGGTTTAGGGTTTAGGGTTTAGGGTTTAGGGTTTAGGGTTTAGGGTTTAGGGTTTAGGGTTGGGTTTAGGGTTTAGGGTTTAGGGTTTAGGGTTTAGGGTTTAGGGTTTAGGGTTTAGGGTTTAGGTTTAGGGTTTAGGGTTTAGGGTTTAGGGTTTAGGGTTTAGGGTTTAGGGTTTAGGGTTTAGGGTTTAGGGTTTAGGGTTTAGGGTTTAGGGTTTAGGGTTTAGGGTTTAGGGTTTAGGGTTTAGGGTTTAGGGTTTAGGGTTTAGGGTTTAGGTTTAGGGTTTAGGGTTTAGGGTTTAGGGTTTAGGGTTTAGGGTTTAGGGTTTTAGGGTTTAGGGTTTAGGGTTTAGGGTTTAGGGTTTAGGGTTTAGGGTTTAGGGTTTAGGGTTTAGGGTTTAGGGTTTAGGGTTTAGGGTTTAGGGTTTAGGGTTTAGGGTTTAGGGTTTAGGGTTTAGGGTTTAGGGTTTAGGGTTTAGGGTTTAGGGTTTAGGGTTTAGGGTTTAGGGTTTAGGGTTTAGGGTTTAGGGTTTAGGGTTTAGGGGGAGGGTTTAGGGTTTAGGGTTTAGGGTTTAGGGTTTAGGTTTAGGGTTTAGGGTTTAGGGTTTAGGGTTT